AAACCTGGTCACAAATGTGGAGAGCACGGGCCTGCTGGAGGGGAACCCTAGGGCTCCAAGACCCCCTCAGCCACAGAGCCATAGCTGGGAGGGGGCTGCAGGTGGGGTGGGGCTGTGGGAGTGGACTTCATGGGAAAGAAGAGACCTGACAACTCACTGGGCTATTGGCCCCACTTACGCTGAGGGTTCAAGGCCCACAGAGATGCTCAAGGCCCACAGCTCCTCCGCGGAGCAGTCAGAGCTGGGACTTTGCAGCCTGAGATGGAATTACGTTCACTAATGGTGACTTAAATGTGTTTAAGTTTAGGGTTGTTTTTTCTCTAAGGGAACCACTGCCTTTCTCTGTCTGGGGACCTTTGCTGTTAAGGATGGGGATATTCAAGGCCACGTGGGAGAGGGGACTTGAACGATTAACTCAGATCTCAGATTTTCTGAGTATCCACCCTGAGCCAGGTGAGCTGCTGGGGTGTATGGAGTGAATTAGGTCAGTGTGATTAAGAAAAGCATATAACCCAAAGTTACAAAGTCATCTTAGCACGTGTGCATTCTAATCCAACACCTGTAACAACGTCAGGTGGACAATTCCAGGAGTGAGAGTCTCTAAAACTGCACTGGCATCTCCCCCTTCACACAGGTGTCAGAGTGAAAAATGCCCTTTGGTGACTCCTGCAGTACCTGACATTCCTCTGCTGAGCCAGTTACTGCGGCCTGGTTGACTGCATCATGCATGTTGAGGACAGGCCGTGGGGCCACCGTCTAACCAGGGGCCGTGCTCTCTTTCACATCTCCTTGCCATTTTTCCATCCTCCTCATGGACACTGGTGGGATGATCTAAGTGGCTGATTCCACAATTCCACTGAGAGCCATTTCTACCTAAATCTCTTAAGTTTTAATAGGATTGGTCGCTTTTGCTCCTCAGAGGTTCCCTCAGAGCCAGTCACCCTGGCCAGGTGTAAGGTCTGGCCTCGGGTCACTGGAGACAGGGCTGGGATAGGGTCCTGGACTAACTCAGGGCCCTGGCCCTTGGGAATGGCTGCCTGCTGAGCAGTACAGGTTGAGGATCCCAGGGGTGAGAAGGCCAACAACTTCGAGTGGTTTTCTGTTGCCCTTAGTAAGACAAATACAGTTTTTACAATACCTAGGTATCCCCACATCGCATGTGTGCTTATGAGAGGTTTGAGAACTGTAGCACGGTTTTTTAAAAATAGACCTTTTTATATTGTATTCCCATTCCATATACAGACAGTCCAACTGAAGGAAAAATTATGTGCTCTATTAAGTGAACATGTGGGCATTATTTAAGTTTGTGTTGTGAAAGTGTCAGTGAACTAAAATAATATCCATTAGTCTCTGTGTTTGTGTGAGTGGGAAGATAGCCCTGTATTGTCTTCTTTCCATGGGTTCCGGGCTTAGTAATTAAGAGGGAGAACTGGCATGTCCAGCGAAAAGAGGCCCACTCCTGTGTCCCACCCTCCTGCTTTTTTCTAAAATTATTAGCTAAATGCTAGGTCTTCTACCACTGCTGCCTCCAGCACCAGGCACTTGTAGGAAGTGATCAGCCTAGCAGAGGATGAGATGGCGAGCTTTATGGGGCTGGAGGGGTGTGGGAAGGGCGGCAAAATGAGGGGAGTGGTGCTGTCACTGTCAAAAGCACCAGGACAGGATGCAGAGGGCAGGGGCTCTCCGGTGGTTTTTCATGTTGACTAGGTTGCTTCTTGGCTTGCAATTCAGTAAGTCCTGAGCCCTAAACTCACATAGAATTATAGAGGTGGTGGCCTGACCCAAGAATTTGTTGCATCAATAGAAATAATTGGCTTTTAAACTAGGCTTATGTGTCCTATTGGAATGGAGGGAAAATGGCAGCTCCTTTCACTGGAATTTCATTTTGGCCGCTGTTTTATACCTTCTTTCGAAATGAGGTCTTATTTGCAAATGGGCTGCTCAGACCGGAGAGAACTCTTCCACGTTACAAGTGACTATGGCAAACCACAGCAGAGCCCATCCACACTCACAATGGCTGTCTGTTTTATTCTGACCTGGTTAAAAGAGTCAGTTGATTCTTACTTTATAATCCAGAGCTTGACTGGAAAACTAAGCTCTCCAATATAAATGTCAGAACACGGGCCAGAACTTATTGATTTTTTTTTGGTGTATTTTATTGTTACAAAGGTATTTGAAAATGCATGGCTAATGATGTCTAGTATCTTTATATTATATTTTATATCTTATACTGGAAAGCTTCTTAATTGGAAAGTAATATTATTGCTAATTTTGAAACTGAAGATATTTTAGTTTATACACATTATTGTTACCTTTGTTTAATATTTTTGTTTCTAGTTATGACATAGTCTACTAATTGACTCATCTTAATATATTAGGAGTGACATTTATAATATAATGTTCTTTTCAAAAGCATACTGATTTTCAGTATCTGCATTTTTATTTTATCACCACTGACCTAGTTAAAGCAAATAAACATTGTTGAACAGAAGTATGTGTTTTTTAACATAAAAGGCAGAATTATGTTCCCCAAACCCTGAGACTTTACATAGGTACATTTTAATTTCAGTATAATAAAAAAATTTCCCCCTGTTTCTGACTTATGCATATACACACCTCACCCCCAAAATAGTAGTTATTAACTCAGGAGGTTTAAAAAGGCACTGGGATCCATCCATGGACATTTTTCCAGGACTTTGAAAACAGCAGTTCCTTTCTGCATAAAGGTCTTAAGGAGCACTGCCAATTCCTACAGAGGCCAAGGAGGGCTAGATCTGTTTCCCTAAGCCTTCTTTTTTAAAAATATTTTTTATTAATTTCAGAGAGGAAGGGAGAAAGAGAGATAGAAACATCAATGATCTGAAAGAATCATTGATTGGCTGCTCCCCGCTCATGGATCAAGCCTGCAACCCAGGCATGTGCCCCAACCAGAACCGAACCATGACCTCCTGGTTCATAGGTCAACGCTCAACCACTGAGCCACGCCAGTCTCTCAGCCTTCTTGGTAGATAATGCTTCTACCTCTTAATATCCCTGTCTTCTGAGCACAGGGTGTAAGGCCAAGCCATAGGGGGTAAAAGAAAAGCACCCAAAAATCAAATCCATATTAAGGATGAGAAGTGTTGAAGGGAAGAGCAGGGGAAAAATGTCTTTCTCAGGAGATAATTTATCTGGAAATCAGTCAATTTAAAATTCTGAGCAGCCTCTGCAAAACTATTAATAGATTCCTAGAAAACCTCATTGTGTGCCATCCACGTGCTCCCCACTATTTCTAAAAGCAGGTCCACAGACATCCATGATAGCTATGGGATTCCTATGGGAAGCAAAAGAGGTTTGGGTGCAGCAATAATCTGCTTGGACAAGACAGGACAGGGAGCAGGGGAGTGATCTGGCTGCTCCCAGAAAACTGGCAGGTTGTAGGATAGTTGCCCATCAGGACATGCTGAAACATGTGCAAAAAGAAAGAAGACCTAAAATGATTAGAGTAGACAGCTACCGGATAGTGGAAAGCACGTTGGTTTGGAGCCTGAGGATCTGGGTCTGAGCATTGGCTTTGCATTACAGCTGTGGGGAACTGAACATGTTTTCTGGGAGGTTTGATTTTCTCATCTATGAAATGAGGGTTGAAATATCCCCCAATGGGTTGTTGGAGACTTTAAAATAGAGTGTGTGTGTGAAAGTGTATTTAACACTAGACGATATGGTGTCCTTGAGGGGTAAGAAAGAGTGGACAGGAGAGGGTTGCGCTGATGATCACTGGATTGACGCTGACTGACATCTGTTTCCCAAGCTGTAGCTCTTTTCACCATCGACTGACATCTGGGCCTCTGCTTTGCAAGTTCAAAACCAAGGCTTTGCCCATTTACCCGGAGTTGGTCCTATCACAGCAGTGAATGTGAACCACACTCAAAGAGGCCAGTGTGTAAGTTAAAGAATACCCCTCATTCCTTCTCTATGGCTCTCTTTCTTATTATGGAGATATCTCTGGCCTTCATTAATAACAGATGGCTTTGGTGAGTGGGGACAAAACGGATGGGGTGGTCTTGTGTGCTATTTTATGGGAAGTGGAAGAATTGCCCCTACTGTAATATTAAAGGTCACCTTCTAGGGACAGGAGGCCCTATTTGTCAAACCCAAAGTCTCAGACACTGGGACAGTGCTGGGTCAACACTAGCTTTTGCAATTCCTGCTAGACCATGGGGACAGGGTCTGTTTTATTCACTGCAGTGTTCCAGTCCTCAGCATAGTGCCTGGCACATAGAATAGATGCTCAGTAAACTGCTTGTGGGAAGAGCAAAATTCCACATGGAGCTTTAAAATGTATAATTTTATCTTATATTTTTTAGACTGCAGATGACTTTTGGGGATATCCCTAATTAGATCATGAGCACACTCAAATTCTCAGGTAGTTATTATGGGAAGACATCAATATACACACTTTGTGTGTGCTGCTGCTTACCTTCCTCAGTTTCTAAGGGCATCATTCTTTGAACGGACCCTCAGATTTGGGGTAAGCCCCAGTTTCTGGCTTCACTAATGCTAGGGAGCCATCCTTAAAGTGCCACAAGGTTCTGCAACCCAGTCATAAAACAGATGCCCAGAAAGTCCAATGGGCAGTAAGAGGTAGAAAGACCCCTGGACTGAGAATGTGAAACATAAACCAAGAGTGGGTAGTCACCCTGCACCCTTCCACCCTTTGTGACATTAGTAGCAGTTTACCCTTTGCACTGATGTGGGGGTGGGGAGGGAGAGGCCTTAGAATAATCAGACATTTTTATTGCCATTGTCAGAGAATGTTCTAAATTCCTGACTTTCTCC